CAGGACCTTTTGGCTGGATCCCTGTTGACTATCACAGGAACTAAACTACTCAGCTCACATTGTGGAAACAGAAATTTAAGCAAACTGAATCCTAATGGGGTCAGAATGAAAAAAGGAAAAGGAGTCTGCAAGTAAGAGTAATGATTATAAAAACGAACCTGGTACATTTAGATCAGGGTTTGTTTGCGGGGCTGACATTGTACACTAGTTTTCTGCTTCATTTTCTTTTTCTTGGCTGCATTACCTTCTAGTCCAGAATTGTTTCAATTTATTATTACCATCCTTAGCTACCTAATTGTGCTACTAATGAATACAAATACTCCAGGCATCAGGCTTTTACAGACCCACTTCAGTGTACAAATAATGGTTTGTTGTGTAACTGCTGATTATGGGAGAAGGTAAGTCACATTATGGAAAATATGTGCCAAAATATTGGTGATGAGGAAAGCAATGGATTCTGTACTCTGCCTTTTAAACTGTGAAAAAGTATTGTCATTCTTGTTCCATCAAGTTGTCCATCATGAGAAAATGTGAGATCCTATGAGCCTGGTTTTTAAGCGTGTGTACTTAGATTTGGAACTTCATTTAAATTTTTTGAGTGTCTGTATTAGCACTATCACATATGAAACGTAGTTGGCTACCAAATTGCCTATTCAAGTACATATGTATGGGGTTTGAGCACTCAACATCAAGCATTTGCATTTCAAAATTGGATCCCTTGTGCTTGAAAGCCTTGAAAATGGTACTCTATGGTCAGCCTAGTGCAGCATCAATTGAAATGCTGTTTGAATGCAATGTAGAGCTTCCAATTGCTGCTTCAGAAAGTGTTATGCTGAATCTGGAACACTTTGCATAATTTAATTAATTATGCCACTAAAAACTGATTTTCTCTCAATTTAAAGCAAACAGCTTTTATGAGGGTGAACTGCAGCACCCAGGGATATCAGGTGTCCAAGCTTTTAATCCTATTACAAAGACTTGACAACCACTGATGGAAACTGGAACAACATAAGCCTCCAGCAGGGCAACAAGTGAAGAGGAAGAAGGCAACAGATTTTTAATACTCTTTGAAACCACTGTATGCATTAAATCAAAATCAAATGTAAAAGGTGACAGAACTGGTAGCTTGCACTTCTTTGTGCAGACAGTGAATAGTGTCTAAGGAATAACACTGATTTTGCTATAACATTAATGGAAATAACTGTTTCCTCTAAGAGGAAATGTATTCTGTTTAACTAGCATAAGAAAAACAAAGTGAAAGGCAAGACTATTTGTATCTGTGTCTGCTCACTTAAAGTGTTCAGGAGCTCAGCAGTTGGAAGTTTGAAAGTGGTTTCTAATGTTATAGATTGGATTCTCGCTATGAATCATTTTCCATATAAGTAAATCTTAACAGATGATTCCAGAGTACAAGTATTAAGGATACTGTCACTAAATGCTAGCCTTGATACTTCGGCTTTCTGAAACTTGTCTTCTCTCTTCCAAATTATTATTGTGTTCAATATCATGCTAAAACAGCAGACACTGTAATTTTGAGGCAGAAAAGAGTACTGATTTAGTAAAGCTCTAATTTCTGAGCCACATAAGCAGAGCCATAATTGGCAAACTATGACTGACCTTGCAAAATTCTGTGACCAGGTTAGGAAGGGTCACAGAAGAATTGACTCCATCTCCATATCGAACATCAGCATGTAACATGAAATTAACTGCACTGTAGAAGATCTTGCTGATAAAAATAGGGAAAATATCTCATTATTGGGAATTCAGTAGCCCTATAAAATACAAACATCTTCCTTTTAATGCTAGCAAATATTCACATAATTACTAATATATATTTATGTATTATTTGTATTCTTCATATCTATAAGAGATGCTACACTTGGTTCAAAGGAGATACAGGAGTTATTTGGGCTCATTGAAAGTGCTTTAACCTAGATTTAAAGGGGAAAAGGGATAAAATCAAGTCATTAGAGATGTCTGGAAGAGACACACCAGTGTTTGAAGGACAGCGTTTTGCTAATGGTAAAGGATGGAGAGCCATGTGGTGGCAAAGACTGCAAAGTGTGTGATTGATGTGTAAAAAAATTGCAGAAGTCCCTAAGAATAGTCATGTAGGAATTACTTGTCTCCCCCCAAAAGGTGGTGGGATCAACAGGCCAGCTGAAATGCATCTAGAGCAATGCACATAGCATGGCCACCAAAGAGGAAGAGCTGGAAGCCATTGTGCAGCAGGAAAGCTGTGGCAAAGTTGCCAGCACAAAGACATGGTGGGATGACTTCCAGAGATGGAGTGCTGCAATGGATTGCTATAAACTCTTCAGAATGGATAAGCAAAACAGGAGGGTGGGGTAGGCCTGTGTTAGGGGGTGAAATATGTACATCAAAAGGGTAAAAAGCAGAAAATTAGAGAACATAAAATTAAAAGGAAAATTAATCTTTTTCCAAATAAGATATAGCTGCTTTACTATGTATTTAAATCTGTGTTCATGCTTTTTGAGAGTGTCTTAGTTCTCAAAATACAAAAAAACAAGGTCACTTGGCAGAGGTCATGAGATTTGAACCATGTACTTACCAGCTCAAGTATGTTCACTGCATAAAGGTTATAAAAAATTCTTGTAAAATAATAAAAGTATTTAATATAATTGATTCTTTTCATTGTTTCATAAAATTGCTTTGTTTGATTGCAGGAGACTTTGGACTGAATTTTCATTACCTACTTCTGAACAATTTACACTGGGATTGAGACAGTATAGAGCTAATGAGTTAGAATTTATATTGAGCCTTAACTGTCTTCCTGAAGTAACTAGGGAAAGAAAATCATGGCAATAATGGAGTATTTTTCATTATAAACTATGTTGTACAGCTTTTACAATCAGGTTTTTAATAGATCTAGAGAAATTAAATTGGAATTCTACCAACTTCTGTGCTTTTGTCATCCAATGAAAACGATGTTAAAATATGTCAAGACTAATAGGCTTATCCCCTTTCTACTGAAATAAGGAGGTGGTGTCATTCCTGTTGATTTTCAGGCTCTGCTGTTCATTAAAGAGTAGGATGTATGTAGAAAAACATTCAGAAATATGCACTTTGCTATAATCCATAATGCTAAATAGAAACTGAGCATAGATCAAATACATCTTGACTTATGTCATCCTAAAGTCCCTATCAAGAGACTCACCAATGAAAATAGTAGACATTTTCAAAGTCAGGGGGTTGAAATTGTGCTCTACATGAAAAAGGAAGCAATCATATATTGCTGATGGGTATATTAATACTGCTGAGAATGCATGCATATATCCATATTTATTAATATATTCAAACATTGTTTATTGATTGTGTATGGTAAATAAACTCATACAGTGAATGTATAGATTACTGTGTATGCATAAACATACATACACTCAATCTCAGCATTATACGTAAGTACACACCAAGAATGATGCAGTTTGTCAGTTTGGAAGATCCTAACCTTTTCATTGTGTATAAATATACAAATTAATAATGAGATATTTATCATTATTTTCCTTTATACAGAGTGTACTGTATTGTCCTTTAATTGTATCTTATTTAATTTTGTGGTTATTTTTTATGGGGAAGTCTGCAATAGAGAAAAAGGGTGTTTCTCAAATGAATGATCTGTCATCTCAGTACACGTTTGTCCCCATTCTTCTTTGCTGTTAGTCTGTTCCACTATCAGAAGACTGCAAGAATCAATGTAATCCCTTACATTTTTATAAATAATATAAAATAAAAATTGAATATACAAAATAGAATCATCAGCCAAGCACATACATATGCGTGCATGTTGGTGCCCTCAATAAATTAATGTTTTAATTACTTCAAAGAACGTTTATTTATTCACAAATACAGGACACAATATAACTGTAGTTTAAATTTTAATTGGCATAACAGGACATTTTTTGTTAGACATTTTGCAGGCAAAAATATTCTCTCACATATTAATAAGTGCTGTATATAGTTTTATATTCTAAGTATGAGGAAAGTGTATGTGCAATATACACAAAACACAGACTTCATGTGAATGAGCATGACTTTAATACTTTAGAGTGCTTGTGTACTACCTCTTAATTTTAAAAAGTTATTTTTACATATCTTTTTTAGTGGGTGGAAAAAAGCCCTAACTAACCCTGAAGACCTTCCCCCAACTCACATATTAAAAAAAGAAAATTAAAAATAAATTGCCAGTTACAAAAAAGGTTAGAATGCTGGCCTTGCTTCCAAATTCAGAAACTGAAAATTTGGAATCTTCATTCATCCAAATAATATATATTCATTCCCCACAGGCAGCAGTGATGGTTCTTGGGATAAAGAAAAACTTCAGTGTCCCCCCACCCAAGGATCACAGGCCTCTGTTAACCACCCCAACTTGCCTGGACAGCATAATGTTCCAGTTAGCCATCCACTCAACCCTCTTCAACAGAACCACCTCCTGCCAAATGGTATGGGTTGACATCTTTCAGCACTAACATCAGCAATTTTTAGTTCCTGTCTTTTTTTTTGTGTTTATATAAATAGGCAACGAAAAAAATCAAGGATGTGCGGAATACTGGAATACTTCCTTTAAAGAATTAAGCAGGGGAAGTGGAGACAGTAAAGAACAAATACATATGCAATAAAATTGATACTTAAAATAACTGCTAACCTGTGCATCAGTGGCAAAATGATGCATTGCTAAGGCACCTTACAGCAGATATCAAAAACTGTGATAAATAGCCATTACTTAGCAATGATATCATACATTACACAGATATGAACAAACTAAGAGGTCTAATAGCCTCTCCTTGTGGCGAGAAACCCTCCATGGTTGCTAGTGATTGACCCCTGCATCTCCCAGAAGAAAACTGACATAGAGCTGCTTTTTCCTGCAGTGTGAACCATCTTGTCACCTGTCACTTGAATATTGTCCATCAGGAGAAAAAAGAGGACAGTGCTTAAGAAAAGGTGCATAAACCTATTTCCCTATTTTTTCCCCCCAACAGGGTTGGAACTTCCTTTTATGATGATGCCCCACCCACTGATTCCCGTGAGCCTACCTCCAGCCTCTGTCACGATGGCGATGAGCCAGATGAACCACCTCAGCACCATCGCCAACATGGCAGCAGCAGCACAAGTGCAGAGCCCTCCATCCAGGGTGGAGACATCTGTTATTAAGGTAACTATACGGCAAGCCAAAATGAACCAAACCAAAAGGCACCAAATTGTATTCCACTCCCAAACACTGTAAATGTTGTAAAGGTGTATAGGTGTCAAATGTTCTAAGGTAAGTCATAAAGTCAAGAAATACAAGAAAACTCAGTGTGGTGACTCTGAGAGCGCAACAGGCTCCCGGAGGCCACCGTTACCTTCTCAGTTTCCCTCCGTCTCTCTAAATCAGCATAAAAACAACACTCAAATTGAAGCATTTTCACACATAGATTTGTGATTTCTCATATTTCATAGTCTGTAATCTAATGTTCCATGAGATAGCATGGAAAAAATTACTCTTAAATTATAAGGGATTGTCCTTGCAACTTCAAAATCTAAGCACTTGAACTGAAATACTCTAATTTACCTGAAGAAGGCTGAAAGGTTTGATACTTCACCTGTGCAGAAACTAAGTCTGGCAAATCCCAGAACAAATTGGAATGAAGTAGCATGGAACAGTCCCAGTAATCTGCAGGCCAGAACTGTAGTATTATAGGGATATCTCATAAATATCTGACAACCGAACTTTAGCTTTTGTTTGTGGCCTTTAATTAAATTAATCTGGTTATAGATGCTTTTATCAGAGGCATGGAGTCTTTTCTTCCTCTTACTGAAGGTGATCTGTTTTCATTTTAAAGGCATTTCATTTTTAAAGGTGCTTCCCTATTACCATTAGATAATTATGACAATCTTCATTTAGGTATCTACATTTTGCCTCTTATCCTTCTTTAGTTCTAATAAATGAAAAAGAGAAAGTACACAAACTTTTGTTCTCTTTTCTAATGTATCTTAGAAACAGACAAGCAAAAGCAACTTTATGTGGGGACTATGTTGGAAATCTGTCCATTCCCGCAATTCTTTGGACCAAAATTAGATAAACATAGAATCTCTTGGACCTTCAAATCAGGAGTTACAGAAGTTTTGAAGATCATGGTGATTTCAGTGAAGAGGTCTGACTTTATTAAGACAATCAACATGCTGGTGCACCTTTCTTTAACCTAACAAGCACAGAACTGCTAAGAACTGTTAAATTAAAAGTCAACAAATCTATGTTTTTATTGACCTGGAAAAATATGATCTGATGGCCTAATTTAGTCACCTACATTTCCAAATGTAGGGTTTTCTTTGGAGGCCTTTGTTGGCATCCCTTTCTCAACTTTGTTGACATGAGGAGCTAAGATATGGGTTTGAGAAGAATTGTTTATTTAGGTGGTATGCCAAAAAGACTAGATCCCACCCACCCTAAGACTAGATCCATCTTAGCCATCTCTTGAGGATATAAGCAGTCTGCTGCTGACTAACTGATTACATGGTGATTTTTGCAACTTTATTTTTCTATTTTTACTTGGTTGGCATTTAGTAAGAGTTACATGATACTAATGTTCTCTGGAACACAGGTGGTGCTTTATTTCATTCTAAATTTATTTTCTTAATTGGAACAGTAGCCACTGGTGCTTCAGGGGTATCTAAAAATGAAGATTGAGATGGAGTACATGCTAAATTACACCTGATGTATTAATAACTGTACCAAAACAAGAAAACTTTGTTTTCACTATTTTCATGCTATTTTCTCTCCTTTCATTTTCTATGAGCTATTTGATTTTATATGTAAGAGTATAAAATTCGACCTTCATGAGCATTGGTAACCTTCTGTTTCTAAACTTTACCTAGCTTAATTCTAGCTTGTAAAGCTGATTTACAAGTTAGATGTAGCTATTAAAATTGCCTAAGTTATCATGGCCTACATTTAAATATGTCGTCTATAGGAGCATATTCCAGTGTGACTGCTGTCTTTGTCTCCAGTTACCACAATCAGGTACATTTGAGCACAACTCATCTCATAGGTCATGTAAAAATGGTTTTCTTTTATGGAAAGCAGGTCCTGCTCTGTTGACAAATCTATCCCTGTTATGGGAACATTGCTGGACCCGGGAAGCACTTAACTGAGAAGTACTTTTGGCTCATGTGATCTTAACCTGTCTAGATTTAAAGCTATTGGACTCTGAAAGGGACACACTGTCATCATATAACTGTGTATATTATTATAACTGTGGCCAGTCCCATACCAGAAGATTTTCCTTATCCTGGAGGTCCTTTACTTCTTAACAAGTTATTTTTGTAACTCATCTATTTTTCTTTAGCAGAGATAGATTCTTTATAACCTCGGTGAAGACCTTGAAAGTACATAGCAATTTAGGCTTTCTGAAACATTCTATCAGCACGTTGTAATTGGAAAAACATCATATCTTTCCAAAAGCTTGCTTATTTAAGCATTTGTTTGTATTAATAATCGACAGTATGTATCAATGTCATTTTTGAAAATTCAGCTCTCATATTCATGCTAATTAAATATTCATTGTAGCTGCCAACTTTTGCATAACTCCTGGCATAACATCCTGTGCAAGTTATTTGACAAACCAGTTTTCATGTTCCCATCTGGTTTGCACATAACCATAATATAAAAATATGTGGATTTCAATGAAATGTTTTTAAATGATCAGATTAACCCAAGTTCTCTTTAGAAAAAATGTGCACATATGAGGATGAAATACACATTTCTTTTGAAGTTTGCACTAACAAGTTAAGGATTTTGGGTCCTTTATGTAGAACATGACATTACCCAAGTGCTGGCCTGACTTTTTCAGTCAAGGCCTGTGATATATTGCTCACAATTAATTTCTACTGTAGGTGAATCCATAAACACAAGTTTTAATTTGTCACTCAAAACTCACTTCTAAATATAAGATCTTGCCGCACATAGTTGTTTCAACAGTATTATAAGGACTAAAGAAGTTACTGTTTCCTACTCATTCCTTCATCCCCCTTGTGGTACAACATATGTCTAGATTTATGTCCTCTGTTATTAGCTATTGTAGATGGATATGGTCATGTGGATAGAGGTAGCACAACCAAGTAATTATGTTCCTATTTTTTTAATACCAAACAGGATTGAAACATAAACCCCAGAAACTTAAAAGCATGAGGTCATTGTTAGGGGATTTTCTTCCTATGAGGATGGGCATAATGTCACTGGCAATTTACCTGTTCTTCTCTAGGCATAGTCAGAGGCTGTGATTTTAATGTCCACTGAATTATATACACTGAGTAGTTGAGCAGGAAATTGTAATCAGCATACTTCTTGAACCTTGTGCTGCCAATGTAATGTTTATGAATAATAACTTATACTACAATCAAAATAAATATCTTCAAGAATAAATCTAAGTGAGGTCAAACCTTCTTTTACTTTATTTTTACAAAAATGGATAAATAGTGCAGTTGCTCTCTTTCATGAAACTGTTTGTTATTAGAATTACAGCTTCCAGTTTTTTACTCCTATTATTTTCAGACATCTTGGGTTTTTTTCCATTATGGTTTATATGAAATAAAATTATTTCTTAACAATAAATATATAAAACTAATATATTTTTCATTATGGACTCATTTTTTAAGCCTAATTTTACTGAAGTTTTTTTTCTTTAGTATCAATGTTTCCACAAATTGAAAAGTTTTTGAATTACTTATCTCAGCATTTGTAGTTGTAACCTGAAATGACAGCATAGATTTGAAATTAGAGTACAGCATGTGTGCTAGTGTAAACTCTGCTTGAAAGTTAGAAGGCCTGTGAGAAATTTCAATTCTGAAAAGTAAATCAATTTCTAAATCAAATCAAAACCATATCTAATTAAGTAACAAAGAACAAAATTAAGTCTTAGAAAATCAGAGTCTTCAGATTATGAACAACCAGGTTCACTGGATAGAAGAATTGCCTTTGTGAACAGTGCCACAGTAGATGACTTGCTGACCTTTCCTTCCAATTCACTGACTTCACAGCTAGTGCTGTTATCTTTAAACTCACAAAGCTTCAAATGCCTTTCTATTACTGGGCAATATTTCATTTCTTCATGATAAGAAGTTGGAATAAAGCTGAGATCATGTACTAACTAAACATTTTATCCTGCTGTATTCAGGAGATGAGACAAAGACAAAATTACAAGGGAAGCCTTACAAAGCAACACCTTATATTTGGCAGTGAACTCTGAGCCCTAAAATCTTCAGAATTATATTTCAGAAGAGTGTTGTGCCCTTTCGAACATGAGATGAACATTAGATGTCTTTTTGTAATGGAATGTTTAGATATATGAGTTGGATGAATAAGAGGAGAGCAACAACAAGCAGGGACAGCAGATTGTGACAATGAATTGCAGTGAGTGTGACAGCTGTGACCTGGGGATGCTTTAGACATGAAGTGGCTTTCATCACCTGCCTGGGGTTTCAAAGGCTCAGCTTGTTAGCAGTTTCACTACATCAATTTTTTTCACTCAGCAGAAAGATATATGAAAATATAAAGGACATACCTTATATTAATAGCAGCTTGAAATTACATTGTAAAAGTTAGAACAGAGCAGTAGCATGCCAGAATCAAAAATTGTAATTTATAAATATGTGACTAATACTTACAGAAAGAATAAAGAATGAAACAGAAGAAACCAATACCTCCAGCTGAAAAAGTGGAGACAGCAGTGGCAGAGCAGTATTCCACTGTGTAATGAATGTATTAGACAAAAATTTGCTAATTCCCTCACATATATCTAACAGCATTGGTTGTGTTACACTATTTTATACCTTCTTTTAAATTTATAGATAGATATATTCCCATGATCCAATAGCAGAAATTTGCTGTTAACTTTCTTAACAAAGGTAGCTGCTGACAGATTTTATTTTTTAGAATAACTCTGTTTATAGGACTATTCTGACATGAAACTTTATTTTGGCATTCACTTGTTCCCTTTTCATTGGCAATAGTGTATTCCTGTTGGTGTAATTTAATGTTCATATATTTTGGTTTTTTTTGCCTATAATAGATGAACTCAGTTGGTCAGAGCCTGGTGCTAATAACATCCAGGTCATGGGTTCATTATCCATATGGGTGATTCACTCAAGACTCGGACTTGATGGTCCTGCTGGGTC